AAAAAATAATATAAACAATAGTATAGATATATTAATTTTGTCATATTTATTGGATCTGCTTGATTATTTATATTAGTTATATCTAATAAAAATGCTATATCCATATGATCTGCTATAACTATATGATCTATTCTATATACTAACTATAAAAAAAATTTTTTTTTTTTTATTCGACTAGCAGGGCCTTACCCAGTGTTGGCTTTTATTTAGTTCACATATGTATCTTACATGTTATTACAGGTAATTACTATCTATGAGCTATTTTAGACTACCGTGGATTATTATCAGATTTTATTCCCATATTGGCTTTTTACTATTGACTGCCATCTTAGACAAGTCAAGATTAACATGCATATGCTCCATTAGTGTTATTATTTTATGTTAAGTTCTATTTCTAACCAGGAATGTTTTAAGGGGAAGTAAAAGGGGAAACTGGGGGATAGTACCTATTATGGTGAATAAACTCTGTAGAGGAAATCTCTAACCCAAACTGGACTATCGGTAACTTGTAGAAAGAGACACCAGGTACCATGGGGAAGTGATCACCAAACCATCTTTTTTCAAACTAGATGCCTTCTATACCTTTTTGTTGTCCAACTTCTGGCAATCATCATAGCACCAACCAAACGATCGTCATGCCACGACTCCTTTTCTGGAGATCACAATCTTAACGCCTACCGGATTGGCATGTGAAATGGCTTCTTATAAGAAACAGTACATAACTGATTATGATACCAGATACCATATTAATTCTATTCAATCACCTTCACATGGAATTGAACTGGTATCTTGTAATCTGACCTGTGGAGCACTAACCACTGTACTATAGACCCACAGGTCTTACTATAAAAAAAATAGTAACAATAATAATACTAATAATAATAATAAAGTAATAAAATAACTAATCTAAAAATAGAACTAATATTATTCATTATTATAATCATAACAATACTAAATAATATTTCTTTAATATAATATTCTTACAATATTGGTGATTATATTAATAATCTCTTTAAAGTTAATCTTTTTTTTTCTAATATATAAATCAAGTAGGATTGATTAAAATAATATACAGTCCAATATATAATATTAAATATGTTATTGTTTGTATGATGTAATTATAGAATTTAATTAAAATTAGATTAGAAGTCTTTTTTTATGCAATTTTTTCTTATATAATCTGTTGCAACCTTATAATTACTAAAAAAATCAAAAATCCTATTTTTATATAATCTAATTGAATTTTTTATGATATATTTTTTATAATAGATAGGTTTGAATCCTAGACTTGCTTCTAATAATCTATAGAATATTATTATTATATTATAAACCTATAGATTTAATTTATAATAATAATTTTTTTTTTTTTTAAGATATTAAGTGCAATAATTACAGTTGTTTTTATTGATAAGTGCTTTATATCAAGTTTATATTACAGTTAAGGACTTATACAAACCAATATATTACATATTCTATATAAATCATCCTTTATATATTATTTTATTTCTGATATTCAAAAACCTATTATATTAAACAATTATCATATTTAATAATTTCCTTAATAATACTAAAAGAGTACTATAGAATATAGAAATTCTATTATTAGTTTTTAAACTATCCAATCTATTAATTCAATAACTTGTCTTTAAAGAATCTTGATTAGAGAGTTGGTTCAAGTATCTCTTTTATCTTATCACTTGAATTTCAAATTACAAACTTATATTAATTCTGAACTTATATAAGCTATAATTTTTCTTACTACTTGTGGCTAATATAACTATTTAAGCTTTGTACCAGATTGAGATATTTCAAGTTAAGGCTCCAATTATTATTGAAAAATATCATATAGGTTTTGTTAAAATAAAGTATAGTTTAATCTATATATTCAAATATATATTATTATAAAAATTGATAAGGATTAATTAAGATGGAATATAGCTTAGTTTATATATTCAAATATAAAAATTTTCAATTGTTCAATAATTATTATAATATTAATTGAATAATTATTATATTACTATATTCTTTTTTAAAGGGATTATAATCTCAATACTTACTGAATCAATATGTAAATTGATTTTTTATGAAAAACAATATTTAATAGATCATGGTATCAGATATCATATTAATACTATTCAATTGTTTTTACCTAAAACTAAACTGATATCTTGTGATCTGAACCTGGAAAAGTATTGACTATTGTGTTATTAATCCATAGGTCTAATTTATAATAATTATAAAAATTATTAATTATAATATATTATATATTTAAAAAAATAAACAGGTTTTAAAATAATATATAATAAAAAAGTTTATACAAAAAATAAATTAAAAAATATAATAAAATAATATTTAATTTAAGTTTAATTATAAATTTTAATTATATTAATAATAATTATTATAATTAATTAATTTTATTATAAAAAAAAATCAAAAAAATATATAATAAAGGTATAAATAAAATAAAAAGAAATTTTTTAAAACTTAACAAATAATAAATCAATAAAATTATAATTGTTTTATAAGATTTTATAATATTTAAAAACTTGGATTTTCCAAAAAATATATAATTTACTTTTAATAATTTATAAGTTGAAATATATTTTCAAAAAATTGTCAGCTATATATATAATATATTATTTTGATTTTAATAAAATCTCAACTTTTTGTTAATATTTAAAACTTCAATATTAATGTTTATTAATTTTTTGAAATTATTAATAATTTTTTAAAAACTAAAGTTTTATATAAAAAAAATACTTTATTAATTTATAAATATTTATTTAATATATAATATAAATTTAAAATTTAAAAAAAAAGTTTAATTTATTTAATATTAAAAAAAAAAAAAGAATAACAAAACATTTTAAATAACATTAGATCATTATATTTTTGAGTGTTTTATAAAAATACTTTATCAAAATTTATACAAGTTAATTATAAAATTTATAATTATTGTGTAAAAATAAAAAATTTCTTTAAAAATATCTATTTTTTTTGTATTGATAAAAGAATTAGCAAAGAGTTTTTATTGTATTTTTTTAAACTAAATTTATTTGAAAAATAACAACTGACAGTAATACAGTAAATTAAAACATAAGTTTTTAATGTTTTTGTATTAATTAATACAGTATAAAAAAAACTAAAAAATAGAAATCGCATCGAGTTTATTAAAACAGTTCCAATATATCTAACCAGAATTTTTATTTTTCTAAATTTGTTAGATCGCCTGAACATTGGTCAATTCCTATGTCATAGGAAATGGTATTAAAAGTCATATGAAATGTTTATAATCACAGTAATCAAATTCTTGCGTTATATTCCAGGATAATTATTCCGTGATTAAAAAATATATGGTGTGTATACTTACGTATTGTTACAGTATATAATTATTAATTTTCCATTTTTGTTGTATACACTTCAAATACGGTATTTTAACATGATTTATTATTTATAGAACTATCGATTTTTTTAATACTACTGCTATTAGACATTCTATGATGCTACCAATAAGTTCTTCGATATGGATAATTCTTTTTGAAAGGCGATGAAAATGATAGATGTGTTTTTTTCGGTCCCTACTTTTAAACAATACGTATACAATGTAATTTTAAGGTGCACGATTATAGTGTCCGAAAAATCATTTGTTCACCTTCAAAAATAATTTCACCATATACAAAAACCTTCCATAAGAAGAAGTACCGTATTTACCTGGCTTTGAACTCTTAAATGAAAATCGCGAATTCTAAAAATTCCAGTTTGACATATACAATAAAATATTATGTATCCTGTTTGTGTCTTGGAATAGGTTGATTATAAATAAAAAAGCATTTTACTGGTAATTTCCTATATACTGTATGTAATAATAGATTATAACTGCCCATATACTGTATATTTTTCGGTCAAATCACGGTACGTGTATGGAAAAAGCACGAGGTCACAAAATTCAAGTTGATCATTTGTTTCTTAACTCAATTATCACAAATGTCGACTTTGGTTAGTGTTAATTCCTATCTAGAGATACCGGTTAGTGAAGGGCACTCTCCTGGTTACAAGGTGAAGAGGATATTTATGTTTCACCAATAATAAATCGTAAGAGATCATTGTGCATGATTTCACAGATAGCAAAGTTTCGCTTGACGCAATAATTAATTTCACATATTATGCAATGGCACACATGATCCGCCGATAAAGGATCCAGTCAAATATTACGTTAGGGGTCATATACGGTAGGTGAAATAATCAAAGAATGAAACCAGAAACCAATCTCCTAATTTGTACAGCACCAATCATATTCCGAAATTGCACGGTAAAAGATTTCTTGACATGAGGAATTCTTTGTGCAAGTTGTTCATCGGCGAGACACGTTTCATATGATGAACCACGATGCAAGAATCCTGATGAGAACCTATTTATTCAACTATCAATGAAGTAACAATAGACCACGTTTTACGTATCAACCATGATGCCAAGCCTACAATCCGATTTTAGGTCAATCCCGGTTATTGAAAATTTCCAATTCGTGATTACGGCATGAGTGATATTGAACATATAATTTCTTTGGAATAAAAATCTTTAATAGAATTTTAAGTTAGTGTGAGAAACTCAATGTGCGAGTATGCACCATAATCATAGTCAAAAAATCACTTAAAAATGTAGGTTACACCGCACCTTGAATATCTCATAGATTTAGCATTTTAAAATTTCTGATTCCACGTGCGTATTTTAGGTTCTGTCGGTTGAGGTACAGTAAGTATAGCATGTCACGTATAATACAATAATAATCTTGTAATGTACCGTCCTTATTAAGCATCCTCTGTTTTCTATGTCTATGCTTTCTAGTGAATGCATGCATGCCTGTTATGCTTAATACAAAAGTCTCAGAAGTGCTAAAGGTTTCGCCAAGCCGCGCGAATCATCGCAGCGCGGAGCAATACATACCACGTACTGCGATCATTACTTCCCCCTTACAGTGCATACGTTTGTGCAACGACCATCATTTATTGCAACGCGTAAATCTCATTACGTTTAAGGACTTCAATAATCTTATAAATATCTGCCTAGAACGAGAAAAAATAATAATCTCGTAACTGCAATATCTTTCACGGAAAATTAAATAACAACGACACACGTTGAAATGTATTTCCCAAAGCCCTTCACTCTTCTACTCACCGCCTTGTTGTTGGTGACAATACTGCCTATCTCGAATGCCTTACCGATCGAACCGAGTCGCTTGCATAA